AAAATCAGCCTTTAAGGAAGGTAGCATATAGAAAGGTTGGTATAGAGCGGTAACCAATATAGCCAACTTTTTGATGGTAGCCATCGGCACTGCCCATGGACGGCACCAGGGAAGCTGTAAGTGAGTTCTGTAAGTTTATAATTGATGTGATAGGTCTTCAAACGAGGAGGAGGATTTCCTGATGGTAAGCAATCAGAGCCACCCAGGTACGCTCGCAACAACAAAAGAGTTACGAGTGTGTTGTCGACATTTTGAGTATTTTGGAGATTTAGAGATTGGGGAGCGATGGGGGTAGGGGAAGGATTGAGCCTCCCGTAACATCACTTACACGGCAAAACACAACTCTGTGATTGTTTCACGCCGGTTTTTATGCGAGGCCGTATTATCACGTCGGTTAAACCGACCCACACTTAATATATCTATACTAATATTATAAAGAGGTAACATTTGTAAGTTTGTATGTAGGGGGTAATCTTTGAAACCACTGGTGTGTTTGCCAAAATTATTTCACTGATAGATAGCCACAATGTTCGTGACTGCTATAGGCTATAAAACATCCCGCTACGATCAAATGGGGCCGAGCAGCGGGTGAAACCGCGTGTGAGTAGCTAGTATCTGATAACTATACAATACGGTCTTAGGATTAGGATGAACCCCAATAACATTTACAACAGCTCCGGTTAAAAGCTACGACCTTTCGCAAAAGGTTTGAACCCAAGAATCCATCAGGAATCCTTTGGAAAAATATCAATTCTGTTATGAAAGAATTATCATATTTTGACGAAACTATGGAGTGAATCAGTTCTAACAAAACAAAGATGGCGGTCGTTCGTTGTTCATGAATAATGTACGAGAGAACACATTCATTGCTATCAGTGAGATTGTTAGGATGTGTTTACATTGAATATTATAGCATTATTGCGCAATCTATGCATTGTGAAAAAAACCTTTCCTTTAAAGTCTTTAAAGGCTTGATCTGGTGGTGTATCAATGAGTGATGCTAATTATTTACCACCAGGTAATCAGTATGCTAATTTACCACATAAAAACACTCACATCAGCTGATGCGATTGCTGAGCAAAGAGTCTCTTCTCACACGAAGAAGAAATGTGCATGATGTTTTTCGCCAGAAAAATCATCAATTGACTTCTACCGCCCAGGGTAAGGCGAGAGGGAGTGTTACTCCCACCGACTAACATCCCGTTCCTTCTCCTGCTTTAGGTCGAGGGCGTAGGGCCTCATTGCGCTTGCCCCGCAACCCAGGCCGAACATCGGCCCAGTTGTAGGGCCCCGTCTGTGGTGGTCTATTGACTCTTTGAGGCGCGCGCGGAACGCTACGCGCCGTAGGCTCGGGTCTGGTTCTAGTCGGGCGGCGAGCTACCCTTACTTGTCGTCCGCAGACGCAGACCCGCGCTTACAGTGGCCGGAATCCGATCTCCAGCTACCGTAAGCGCGGTTCGGCGGACGGTGATCAAGGGTAGCTCGACCCCCAACCAGAACCGAACCCGAGCGTAATCGCGCCTCAAAGAGATCACTTCCCCTTGGACACGGCGGTGCTCAGCCCAAGCAGAGCACACCGCCACCGTACGCTCCACCGTGTCCTCACAATCGCGCGCATAAGCCAATAGACCACCGCAGACGGTACCAAACGGCCCACGTTCAGCCGAGGTTGCAGTGCAATCGCAAAACCACCTCACCCTGGGCGGGAGTAATAATTGGATGATTTTTCCTTTTAAAAAAATCCATAGAATTCTAAAAGTTTGATATAATCTGTATTCCCCTTTATAAGCTACACGTTCGTAGCCAATAGCAAGGAGAAAAGGCATCGTTACTGGATGTTGGGGGAAAAATGTAACGTTGGAGTATGAATAGGTGATATAGAGCGCTTTATTGAGTTCGTAATTATAAATGTTTTACATTTTTACTAGCGACCCGCCCCGGCTTAGCACGGTGGCAATGGTGACACTAAATTTCTCCGCAATATAAACTATACTATCGAAACTTAATATTATAAATGCGAAAGTAACTCTGTATGTCTGTCTGTCTTTTCTTCGCGCCTAAATTACAGAACCGATTTCTGTGAAATTTGGTATAAACATAATTTGGAACTTGAGAAAGGACATAGGATCGTTTTTATAGCTGCAGGAAGCCACTGTTACACGCGAACGGAGTCGCGAGCAAAAGCTAGTTATACATAAAAACGCATCAAAATTCGGTTGCATAGTTTTACGGATTTTTGATATTTTTTATAGATAAAGTGATTGTAGAGGAATGTTTATCACATGCATTAAATTGTGGAGATTTTTTAACAGGATTGCCTTCTTGCTGCTTGCTCGAATCGCTATTTTCATTACAATAGCTAATCCACCTTGAGCAAGCGTGGTGATTAATGCACAAACCTCCTTCGTGTGAGAGGAGACATTTGCTCAGCGTTGGGCACTTATAAGCAAATGTTGATAATGAAATATAACATTGTCTGATTCATACTCACAGCTAGTCAACAGTGAGAACAATAAGATGGCAGATAATACAAGACTAGGTATATAAGTAAGTAGGCTATTGTGAGCGTTATATAAGTAATATTACGGTATATTACGCCTTGTTTATTTCAAAGGAGATAAGCTGTTATGTCATGTATTACTTGATCGTTTTGTGTTTGTTTTTCTGGTGAGTTTTTCGATCAATTAGTGGTCGCACTTACCTACCATTGTTATATTTCGCTACAGGATTTTTTCTTTTAATTAAAATTGTAGTCATCGTATCATCAGCTCGTAAAACACCCTGACTGCTGGGCAAAAGCCTTTTCTCATACGGAACTGCTGAGCAAAAGCCTTTTCTCATACGGAGAAGGTTTGAATATTAATGACCACGCTTGCTCAAGGCAGATACACTCTCTCTCGCCTTACCGGGAGAAGTCATTGGATGATTTTCCCCTGACAAAAAAAAAGGTATCGTATCCGAGATCCCAATGCCAACAAAGCAGTCATCTATACGTCTATACGTATATTATAAAGAGGTAAAATTTGTAAGTTTGTATGTAGGGGGGTAATCTCTGGAACCACTGGTTGAATTGCCAAAATTTTTTCACTGATAGATAGTTACAGTGTTCCTGAGTGCTATAGGCTATAAAACATCACGCTACGATCAAATGGAGCCGAACAGCAGGTGAAACCGCGAGAGAGTAGCTAGTACTTATTAAAATGAATGATTTCATAGAAAAAAATCTACAAAGTATTTTCCTTTCAGTAAAAGTATTACTTAGAGTAAGTTCCGTTGAAAAAAGCCTCCTTGAAATTTGTTCAGGCGAATACGAATATTTCCTTTTTAATTACTCATTTGGCCGGAAATCTTTCAGATATAAATTTGTATATTACTGTTGAAGAAGTATTTTTAGTATTGCTACGTATAATTGGGTAGTTTCCTAGGTCAAAAATAAATGATTTCGACGTTTCGATACAATAAAATATTGAAAAATAACTATACTTTTATTCATCGATCGATCGATATACTAATTTTTAATTTTTTTTAGTTAATTATTAAGAAATAATTAAGCCATTTGACGCAAAAAAGTTATGACGTCATAGCTCAGTTTTTCATACAAATTTCATAGAAAAGTATCGTTTTTGACGTTTGGATAAAAGTATTGAATTTGACTAGTTGGAAACTACCGTATTGTTTAGGGTTCTGTCCTGAATGTGGAACTTCCAAGCTTAACTACGAAAGACCTGGATTGATCGGATTCCAGGGTCTCACAGAAAACGGACGGAAAGCTTTGCCGTTTTTTGAAAGGGAAAAATTGTCAGATGTCTTCTTTCGACCTGAATGAGACCAGAGAAAGCATATCAGATTTTTACTACAATATTACTTGAAACCAAAATACTTATTACAACTTTCTATTTGAAATTATTCAAGTTTAGAGGGATGTCTTAATTATGTTGATTCATTTAGAAGTGGTTCCTACACTTAAATAAATCGAGAATGCAATATGCACACAAATACATATAAAATAATATTATTATAAAACATAAGAGTTGAGAGAGACTCGGGGGATGGATGTTCATCAGTAAGATGCTGGTAGAGGTCTTGACCGTACTTCCGGGATTGTTCTGATAGCCGCGGGATGCCTCTCGTTCCCCAAGCAGCTCAACGTATGTAGCCCCCGTGTCGCTACATGCTGGCGGCCGTTTCCGGGGACCCATTGACTGAGTTTGCCAGTCACCCCCTGCCTGTTTATCCACATGTATCAATATTGGTCCTAACCTGACCAATATTGACACTGCCCTTGGGCAGGGACCATAGTATTTCCATAGCTATCATACGTCTACTAGTCCATACCACAATTAATAGTCCTGCATCAACTGGGGATTGTCCTTGTGTGCACTTTCATAGTGCATAAAGGTATAATTGCCGGCTGATGTCCCATTGCACAAGTATTAAAGTTGTTCAAAGGGCCTCTGCGAGTTGGCTTCGCCTCCTCGTACGCCTTCCGGAGGCCCGGGACCCAGTCTAGAATAGAATAGAATAGTAGATAATAGCTTGAAAAAAAACATATTGATACCAAATTTGAAGTCATCTTACTAACTTTTAAACTTTCGCGTTACAACTTAACAACATTATATTTACGCGGGTATTAACGCGGAAAATTATAATTTGAATACCTTAGGCTTGACGTTTCGACCCGGTTGCACAGGTCGTGGTCACAAGCAGACCAGTCAGTCTGCTTAATACCCGCGTAAATATAATGTTGTTCAAGTCACCTTAATCTCAATGCCACAATGACATTGTTTTTAAATTCAATCCATTTCAACTTTGTTATATTTAGTACTTAGATTAGATAGACATACAAGTTAAATTAGAACCACACGTAGTGTTAATAGTTAAAGTAAATATGTATCAGATAATCTCAATCAGTCACGGTTCAAAAGCATTAGGAATAAGACTATAAATGTAGAAAATAAACCTTAAAAATATTTTATTTATAACGAAAAAAAAAATAACTTAAAACAGTTTTTATTTAAAAAGTGATAGTTACTATTTTTAATCTGTGCTTCCATACTGTCCTTTTTTTAAACTGTGCTCCTTGTACTCTGTTTTTTTTTAGTTTTTTCTGAACTTTTTTTTGGTGAAGTTTTTTCTAAACTATGAATTCTCTTTCCATGCTTTCTCCTTCAAATATGGTAGGTAGAAGAGGTTGTATAAGAAAGAAATAGAGTTTTTACGACGAAAAACACGACGGAACGCTTAACGATTTTGCTTGTTTTTCACTTTTTTTTTTCTTACAATTAAGATGCTTAACATTTTTCAGTGATGCCGCTTGGTTTCAGCTGAAAGGCTTAAACATTTTAATTTGTATGTAAATACAGCAATTGCAATGCGAAAAAATTATATATAAGCTTAAAAATTACTATAGCAAAAACACAAAGAGTGGGTTTTAAAACTTATTTTCACTTTTGTTTTTTCAAAATACCACACTAAAAGTGGCAGTGATTTGCAATTTTATGGCAATTAAAAAAAAAATTCACAAAACAATTTTTTTTATCGTTGGTAATCACCGGTTTTTTCACGACAATCACGAGAAATTTTAGAAAATAGATGTAGCCAATAGGTTAATAGATTAGCTTAGCACCATGACACCATCAAAAATTCAAAATTAATATTATTTTTAATTGTAAATTAGTTATTTTGTAAAATATCTACCAAAAATACTATACAAGTGTGAGATTTCAAAATTAAATCAATTGGCGCGAAAAAAATTTATTGTTCTCTATTCAAATATTTTTGTGATCTCACATTATTTCTTATTTGAATTTCGATCTTAAAGTTTTTTTTTATTTCGTAAATAGAACAAGGTCTGGATTATGAATAATTTTAATAAAATATTTTTAAACTTATTAAAATTTTGTAGATTTAGTCGAAATAGAATAGATTAGCGAATAGTTTCGAGTGCTTAAAATATAAAATTTATTTAAAATTTTACTATTTTTCGAATTAATATGTCGTTTCGAAGCTATTTAACAACACTTTCTAAATTGGAACGATCTTTTTTAACCCCGTAATACGAAGAAATATTATTTTACATAATAATTTACTTTTTGCGATAGAACAGAGAGTCTAAAATGCCTTAACATCAGTACAGAATATAATTTCTTGCATGTCACCCCTTTAAGTTTTGTGGCGTTAACCTGCAACTTAAAAAAAGTAAAAGGTATGATTTTTTTTCAATAACAAAAAAGTATTTGGAAATTCAAGATTTACTTGACAAAGGAAAAATACGAATAGTGTTTTTCTGAAAAGAAAAATCATACTTTTTAACGTATTTTAAGGAGTGATAACAAATTTTGTACTGCACGATATGAATTATTAAGATAATATTTGTTGGAAACGGTTACAAATTTGCAGACAGAAAGATATTTTAGTAAAAAAAAACTAAATCCTATAAATTACAAAAAAAATATACATTTCGTAATTCAAAAACAAACCGTTTCCATCAAAACAAAACAACGCTTCGAAACGGCGCCACAGTCGCGCAAACGCTTTAAGTCTCTGATTTGTGCTAACAGATGGCGTTTCTCCAGAATCGTTCCATTTCCCTGGTGGACATGTACATCGACAATTCTGAGCCATCGGAGAATGTTGGACAAATCCACTTCAGCTTGGAGTACGATTTCCAGAACACTACTCTGATATTGAGGATCATTCAGGTAAGATTTGGTTCAGTTTTTCTGCTATTCTGTTTCAGATTTCAACAACTTCCCCTGCTCTGGATGGGGCGAGATTTTTTAAGAAAATAATGAAACAAAAACCATTACTTTTCAAGTTGGCTGCTGGGGTTGAGAACCATCCATAATAGTCACGTAAAACAAGCATTTTTACATGTCAGAGTTACACATAAAAAACTAGATGAAGCCGGCATTTCCTTCTGAGAAGAAATGCCTCAACACACTCCGTCTCTTTTATCGTGACTCTTCTTCCCTGGGTTGGGCAAAATGTATTAAGAGGTAGTAATAATTATACAATGATATCTCCCACCCTAGGTTTTTTTTTTGTGAGGGGAAAATCATCAAATGACTTCTCCCGCCCGGGGCCGGGCAGGAGGGAGTGTCAGACTTTTACTGACTAAAAACCCCCCTGTTCCTTCTCCTACTCTGTGCCGAGGTCGCGGTACCTCATTGCGCTTACCCCGCAACCCCGGCTGAACATCAGCCCTTTAGGGCCCCGTCTGTGGTGGTCGAATGGCTCTTTGAGGCGCGCGCGGAACGCTACGCGCCGTACGCTCGGGCCTGGTTCTGGTCGGGCGGCGAGCTGCCCTTACTCGCCGACCGCAGGCCCGTGCTTACGGTGGCCGGAGATCGTCCCTCGATCCCCGCGCCTGTAGTGTCGCCAGTTGCGGCTGCTGGGGCGTGAGGAGGAGGATTGCTCCCTCACGCGGGCCGCCTCTCTCTTTGCGAGCATGACCGCTTCACAAAAGGAGGAGACGGCGTCCCAGTTCCTCTCACTCCGCACCATGGCCTCGACTAAGGCCGGGCGCGAGAGGTCGCCGCCGCCGATCACTTCCCTGAGGATATCCCACCCTAGGTGGGGTGACAGTCACCGTCAGACTCTCACTGACTCCACCCTGTTACCTATCCTGCTCCAGACCAAGGCTGTGGTCCTCCATCACGTTTTCACCAGGAACCTTTACCAATCAACTCCCCCGTGTCTGTCAAGATCAAAATTAAATAATGTTAAACCTTGTTTAGCTCTTACAAAGCCCGTGGAAAAAATAGGGGTATGTTTTTGCCAATAGACCACCACAGACGGCTATAGGGCTGATGTTAAAATGGTTAAGCGTAATGAGTCACCGTGGCCTCGGCCAAGAGCAGGAGAAGGAACGGGCGTTTTTAGTCAGTAAGAATCTGACACTCTCTCGCGCCTTACCCTGGGCGGGAGAAGTCATTTGATGATTTTCCCCTGACAAAAGAGGGATATGTTTTTTAAAGAAAACAGCAACAAAACCAAGTTGTCATTCTTCAAGTCCAAATGTAACTTTGTGCCTATATTTTAATCATAATAAATTGGCTCTAACAACAAAAATAAATACTTTTATCACTACCAAACTTTAACTTGAATTGTACAAACAAACAATTTAATAATTCTTCAAGTTTTTATATGTATAGAGCTTGTCTGTCAATGCGTTGGGCAAATATTCATAATTTGCTTGACTATTGTACCATCACGAATAGTCTTGATAATTGAATGTACAAACTTGATACTTTGTACATAATGGAAAAAGTCTATTGTGTTGAAACTATACAAGTTATTATGTATTTTAGTTACTATAATATCTTGTTTTTTAATTTGAGCTAGAAATTAGTCACATTCGATACTTTTCCGAATAAAAATCTACTGCTAAATCCAAACTAATATTATAAATGCGAAAGTGACTCTGTCTGTCTGTCTTTTCTTCACGCTTAATAAACTACTGAACCGATTTCTGTGATATTTGCTACAGACATAGTTTGGAACTTCAGGAAGTCACTATTCCACACGAACGAAGTCGCGGGTAAAAGATAGTATTAAATACAATTTATGTTAGTTATACCCATATAATTTGACTTAATCGATAAGCAAATTAATTTCTATTTAGGATTAAGCTTATAGAACAGAAGAAATGCCTTAAATTGAAGATTAACAAAGCAACTTTAACCATAGTCTCAATTTTGACTTTAATCCTTTTCATTTAAATATTATCAAAACATACGAATTCCTATCAAAACTTTTTTCAACTCGACTAGTTTCAAGCAACACCAGGGTCCCATAACCATGCGCGAGCATACCGCCATCTATCGAAATATTATGAAAGCAATTAACCTTACGGTATTTACAGGGCAAGGAATTACCAGCAAAGGATTTGAGCGGTACATCCGACCCGTATGTCCGGGTTACCCTTTTACCGGATAAGAAGCATCGGTTGGAGACCAAGATCAAACGGCGCACGCTGAACCCAAGGTGGAATGAGACATTCTACTTTGAAGGGTTCCCCATACAGAAACTGCAGAGTCGGGTAAGTTCTAATATTAAGTTAAGATTTTTTCTTTGGTAAGATTCGGCAAACGAGCTGACGGATTAACTGATGATCAATGAGCCCATGAGTGCTTCTTCGATTTTAGTTTTGTTTTTGTGGGTGAATGTCATCACTGAATGTGGAAATTCCCGAAAGGAATGACGGCCAATAGGCCAGTAAAGTACTCGACCACGGACCGGAATACGCATCGTGGGCAGACTGCCTGATAGCCGACGTTCTCCTCAGAGTCGCGGGGAGCCAAAGCCAATGTGCTGGATTCGAGTGGCGACTTGTCGTTTAGTGTGGACAACTAAACGCAAGCAGCAGTAAACGTCGTCCGGACGATGATATCATCGGATGACGTCTATAATATAACTAGATATGTAGATAAAACGCGCTAAAATATACAATTCTTTACTATGGTTTTTTCGAGCCAAGCTGATTCGTGACTAAGTATGGCTGCTTCAGGATTTTTTTAAATCTCTGTGTCACATCATCAACGTATAAGTGCCCACTGCTTGACAAAAAGCCTCTTCTGATGCGGAGAAATTTGAATTACTACAGTTGTCTAAGGCGGATTGGATTTCAAACTTATAAGTCCAGGTTTCCTTACGATATTATTCCTTCCTTCAGTCGTGTCTGTGTCTGATAATCATAGAGAGAACTTATAGCTCAGAATAAGTCGCATTAGTAATTGCCAGGCTTCGAACCCGTACTTGCATAAGAAGAAGGCCCCATAAACTCCGGAACGGTAACAAAACTCACAATTGTAGAAGTCTTTTTTATACAATTGGTCGGCAAACGAGCAGACGGACTGGTGGTAAGCAATCAGCGCTGCCCATGGACAGAGGAGTGACGAGTTTGTTGCCCAGCTTTTGGGGATTAGGAATTAGTAGATTTTGGGATTGGGGAGGGATTGTGGGAGAGGAAGGATTGGGTCTAACCTCACTCACACGGAACACAATGCTGTGGTTGTTTCACGCCGGTTTTCTGTCCGATTCGTACTGAAGCATGACTCTCCCACACATAAAAATTATTAAACTGCAAAGTGCACAATAGCTTACTTAAATTCAATATGCACACACGGGCTCGATAGTAATTGCTATTATCTTAACCTCCGGGCCACCAAATCTCACTATAGTTTTTTATAAACATTGAAACCTTGGTCAATGTGAACGTAATTATGTTATTTCTGCCTAATTCTGTGGATATAAACATAGTTCTAACGTAAAATACCAAAGTAAAAGGAATGGCAAAAAATATCAATAGAACCGACCGCCCAAAGACAAGCCCCTTTGCTCCAAATTATTTCAAATTGACATTAACAGGTGCGTGACACGACTCTGTTCCCGAGTGAATACTAAACGTCGACTAATAGTTGACGCCATTTTATTTAATTAAAAATGTTACTCTTCCCCGTTTTTTTACTCTGTAATGGAAGGGAGAAAATTAAAAGCAATGGAGTTGCTAAAAAAACGAGTATTCCTTTAGGAATGTGTGTTTTGGAATAGTTGATTGAAACGCAATTAAATGGGATTGTCTCTGGATAGATTTTTCACACATCATCATATAAGTGCCCACTACTGAAAACGCCTCTTCTCACACGAAGAAGGGTCTAAATAATCATAGAATATTCTGATAGATTTTTAGATCTGTGCTACTTAGAAGATCTGGTGCCCTCTATAAGATACTAAAGATGGCCAAAGGAATAGTTTTAGTGACTTAAAAATACGACACTCCCAAATGTTTCGCCCTAAAAATTAAACTGAACCATACTACTTGATTTGAACGGAAAATGTCTATTAATCTAGTCGTCAGTGAAGCTAGTGAAGATGCTCGTTCCAAAATGTAAAAGAAAGAGCAAGAAACTCGATCGTTACTCCTTTCAAAAATATATTGATAGATTAATAGATAGGTAAAGCATTTATTTGTTGTAACAAAAAAAAAAAAACAAAATAAAATAACTAAAATATAATTCAGGCAACTAAAACACTAGAATGAAAAGCATCATGAAGTTTTAGATTGAAAGAAGCTATAAATGATAAATGAGATTTACAATCTCATTGACAGCAGTATTATTTCCATAATGAACTTACATTTTTGTAAGAACGGGTGTGAGAGAACGTTTGGCTCGGCTCGACCGAGGGGAAGGATTGGGCCTCCGGTAACCTCACTAACATGGCGAAACACAACGCTCTGTTTGTTTAGAACTGGGTTTCTGTGAGGCCGTGGTATCACTCCGGTCGAGCCGACACATTCGCAGTGAAGAATGGACTCACTTTATGGGTGTCCATGGGCAGCGCTCTAAGCTCTTTGCCGATCTATTTTCTGAAAAAAAAAACAATGCAGAGCTTCTCTGCACGGCGAAGTGCAGAGAAGTAACATGTTATGTTCGGTAAGAAAAGCAATTTTCACGGAAATTCAAGAGGTAAATAGTACAAACAAAATTTGCTACTCGTGTTATATATAAGCAGCGTACTCCAATGTGACTGCGTAGCATTTAGGTAGAAATATAGCTTGTGTAATGAGCACCGTTGGTCTGGCTCTGGCTATAACTTAACCCCGACCTTCTAACAGTCTAATAAACATGACATCACGACTTATTTATTTATTTATTTATTTTAGACTTCATGCACAAAACATTGTACATAGGCGGACTTAATGCAATGAGCATTCTCTACCAGTCTACCTTTGGGTGATGCAGAGATAATCTAGTAGCAGGTGCAGAAGCAAGGAAATTCAATTAAATATACCAAACAAATATATAAAAATATACATAACACACTTTACATACATACATACTATATATATACATTATAATACATATTTATAAGGCAGTAAATATATATATATATATATATATACGTATATGCAGTCATAGTCACGATGATTCCCCCAACCTCTTCAAAAGAAGCTCCCGAACTCTCTGTTTGAAAGACAGCCGACTAGTCAAGATCCTGATATCGGGGGGTAGCGCATTCCACAGAAGAATAGCCTGAACGAAGAATGAGGAATGGAGAAATTTTGAGTGATGAGTTGGACAGTTGAGGAGACGATTGTTAGAAGAGCGAAGGTATTTATTGTGGTTTGCGCATGTGTATTGGAAGTAAGAGGACATATAGCTAGGTGGGCAAGGTGAGTTAAGAAAGGAAAATAAAGTGGTTAGTGCCCTTTGCTCCCTACGCTGGCGTATGGGCAACCACTTCAATTGCAACCGATGTGCAGAAACATGATCATATTTGCGTAGGTTGAAAACGAAACGAATGCAGTTATTCAGAAGTCGGTCGAGTTTATTGAGGAGATCTGCATTCAGGTCATAGTAACAAACATCAGCATAATCTATAATAGGGAACAACAAGGCCTGTACAAGCATCGTCTTGGAGACGGGCGGAAGCAAGTTTTTCACGCGGTAAAGGGCCCGCAGCGACCCGGTTACTTTTTTGCACACGTTAGTAACTTGTGTATGCCAGTTTAAACTCCTGTCAATATGTAAGCCTAGGTCTTTAACATTATCGCTGTAAGGAACTTATGTTCTGTGAAGGGTTAAGAATACTTAGAGCTAAAACGCATAATCTTTTTTGTTAGAAATATTCAATGACGTGATGTCCTAAAGGTTAAGGAGCCCGCTTCTTATGCATAAGGGTTTGAAATTTGGCAAGTACCAATGTGACTTTTACCGAGTTATATGTACTTTCTATGATTATTTAGACACCACTGACGTACGGTGAAAGAAAACATCGTGAGGACACCTGGATTTATAATTTCTTGTTATGGATTTGAAATCGCCTATCCGCCTTGAGCAATCGTGGTAATTAATGGTCAAACCTTCTCCGTGTCAGAAGAGGCTTTTGCTCAGAAGTGGGCCGTTATTGACTGATGTTGAATATCGGATTCTTTGAGTGGTGATTACGAAATAACCAGACTTGCTTAACGACGTAGGTCTTAAAATCTGTAAGCTGAAGTGGCAATGGGTAGGCCTCCGGCTAGCTGGACCAACAATATGGTCAGAGTCGTAGGAAACCATTGGATGCTAGTAACGAACTGTCTTTCAAAATTCGATACTGGTTTCGGATATACAAGAATTGGGAAGAGATGGGGAGAGTCCCGCCTCCCCATCTCTCCTTACATTGGGCCTCTGGTTACCTCACTCACACGACGAAACACAACGCGTTTCAAGTGTTCCATCACGCCAGCTTTCTGTGAGGCCGTGGTATCACTCCGGTCGAACCGACCCATTCGTGCCGAAGCTTGGCTCTCCTACACTTAAAACTGTGGGACAAAGTTAAACAAAAATATATGATAAGATTGAAGCCATTGTCCCGTTACGCACGCTGTCGCGTTACGTATGTGAGAGCGCGGCACGACCAAGAGAGATGCATGACCGCCTCAGTTCGGATCATACTACTGTAATGTATGACATTGTCATGTCAAACTATCATCCGTAATTCGACAACAATATTTTTTTCAAGATATACATAGTTAACAGAGTAATTAGTCGTTAGTACTTATTTATTGAAAGTTTATTAATTAATTAATTCATGTAATTATTACAGGTCCTCCATCTCCACGTGTTTGACTACGATCGGTTTTCGAGAGATGACTCCATCGGAGAAGTGTTCCTGCCTCTGTGTCAGGTAAGCAAATATTTATAAGCAGACTTGATTCATCGGTCGAGATATCATAAATACGAGAACCGATCATAAGGATTTTTTTTATTTTCCGAAGAAGTATATTTTAAGAGTATTACAAACTAGTTATTTCCTGCGATTTTACAGGCTGTTCTGCTTCTATGGGCCGTAGTGTGATGTTTTATAGCCTATAGTCTTCCTCGATAGATGGACTAAAGAACGCAAAAACAGTTCTTAAAATCGAACCAGCAGTTCCGGAGATTTGCGCGTTCAAACAAATAAACAAACTCTATTGGTTTCAATCAACTAAATCTATGGTTTCAATTATTATATCGTAACCCATTATAACGTATCATAGCCTGCTTTTTCTTAACCTGTTATCAAAATTGACAGATATGCCAAAAAGTATGAAGAATGTATTCTGTTCTCAACACCTGTTATTTTAGTAACAGGTATATAGAACTGTTATTTTAACAATAACGGGAAGAACAGGTATCGTATGTATTTGACCTGTTATAATCCAACTTTCTTCTGAGTCCTCTAAAAATTTGCAAGACTATATTCTAATTATACTAGCATTGAAATAAAATACTGAAGATAAGTGTACTGTTACGAGTACGTTTAAAACCCTTAATTAAAAATTAAGTCTCCCCTCTTTATTGTGAACGCGGAAAGATTTTAAGAGCCATTTATTATTCTTGGAGAAAATCCCCTTTTATTTCTTACTTTAACAATTGATGTCAACTGAAATAAAATTATTGAGATTTCTGCTTTCCTAAATTATACTACACTAATATTATAAACAAGTCAAGTTCTCATCAATGTATAGGTTTAAATGAATTAAGTCCATACACAAGGTGCACTCCAAATAGTCGAAGAGATACCACAGCTGTCTTCTGGCTCCATCGTCAGTTTTACTGCATAACTGAATTTTAATGTATTGTAAGTGTGGCAGAGCCATGCTTTGGCACGAATGGGTCGGCTCGGTCGGATACCATGGCCTCACAGAAAACCGGCGCGAAACAACCACAGCGTTGTGTTTCGCCGTGTGAGTGAGGTTACCGGAGTCCCAAACCTTCCCTTCCTCCAATCCCTCCTCAATCCCTAAATCTCCAAATCCCTTATCCCTAAAAGGTAGGCAATGCACTCGCAACTCCTCCGTTGCGGGTGTCCATGGGCGGCGCTGATTGCTTACCATCAGGTAATCCGTCTGCTCGTTTGCCGACCATACATAAAAAAACTGATGTTTTAAGGTGCAAATTTTTCATCGAAACCAATTTTAAGTCCAAACACGAGGTAGTTACTGTAAACCGTTCAGGAGTTCCCTGAGCTGTCCATCGTCCTCATCATCTGGTCTTTAATGACAATCACGGCCAAACCACGGCCAATCTTGTTGCAAAGTGCTTACCAAGACGAATTATTAAAACCCAAACACAAGGCAACTACTCCTTATAATAAAGAAGATCCCTAGACCGTCTTCCGGCTCCAAGATCAGGTCAAATTTGACTTTCGTCAAATTGTAGTGTTGTAAAACGCCTACTTAAACAACTTATAAAAGCACTACTCGCTCCAATAATTTTGAAAGTTCCCTTTGGTTAATATGGTCCTCCATCGTCAGATCCTGATTTCCTTATCATGGGACAATTCTGTGACCCTTCTTTTCCAACAACAAAAAGTATTATCAACATTGGTTTATTAGTAACGGAGATATCGGCAAACAAACATTTTTTATAGCCTATTGTGTGTCCCACTACTGTGCAAAGGCCTCCCCTTTGAACAAACATAAAGAAAAAATATATATACGGTTGAATTGAGAGCCACTCTTCTTTTTTGGAAGTCGGATAAAAAGTGACAACTGAGTCAAATTCTAATACTTAATTTCTCCACTATTTAATGGATGTTATTACACATACAAACCGTCCTCTTCAATCACTCTATCTATTAAGAAAACCGCATTAAAATCCGTTGCGTAGTTTTAAAGATTTAAGCGTACATAGGGATATATGGATAGAGAAAGCGACTTTGTTTTATACTATGTAGTGATAGTTGAAACTAAATTGAAGCCCACGTTTTCATTTGCAATTTAAATGGAATATCATCGAAATTCATTTGTTTTCAAACCATTCAATTAGGGACTTAATGAAACTCATATTGATATTAAATAGGGCGCGTAGAGTTTAATTGATATATGTGCCTATCCATATTAATATTATCATTGTTATACCTTTTCATATTAATGTATTAAAAAAAGAAGATTACTTGCCTGTTTTAGCTTGATTATAATTTTTTATGTAATAAGTTGGTTAACGAGCAGACGGATTACCTGATGTTAAAGCAATCAGCGCCACCCATAGACTACCAAACCAGAGTTATAAGTACGTTGCCAATATTTTGGGAATTAGGGATTTGGAGAATTCGGGTTTGGGGAGAGATTGGGGGAGGGGAAGGATTAGGCCGCTGGTAACCGCACTTACACGGCGAAACAAAACGCCGTGGTCGATTCACGCTGGTTTTCTGCGAAGCCGTGGTATCATTCCGGTCCAGCCGACCCATTCGTGCCGAAGCATGGCTCTCCCACACTTAAGTTGGATTTAAGGATAGGAGGATTTAAGATTTGGGACGGAAGGAGCAGAATTAGGCCTGTTATTTACCTTAATCACGGGACAAAACACCGTCATTATTCAAACATATCCTTTTTTCACGCCGTGATTAGGACTTTATAGGTCATCATGAAGTACTATTCGTGTCAAAACATAGCTCCCACAATAAAGTAATTAATCATTTTTCTTGTTAATCATATATTTCTGTCTCTTTCCTTCCAGGTGGACCTGAGTGAGAAGCCATCATTCTGGAAAGCTCTGAAGCCGCCAGCGAAGGATAAATGTGGCGAGCTGTTGACCTCATTATGTTACCATCCCAGCAACAGTGTGCTGACCCTGACATTGCTGAAGGCAAGGAATCTGAAAGCTAAGGATATTAACGGGAAGTCAGGTATGTGATAAAAATATATAATTTTTTCAAAATTAAATGACACTAGTAATTTCTCCTGTGTCGTGGGTGCGTTTAGAAACATACAATTTCACACACCCAGACTCGGAAGTTCGGAACAACAATTTGTGGAGCACACAAAGAGTTGTTCCGTGCGTGAATCGAACCCGCGACAAGTTGCATGGCAGTCAGTTTGTAATCTAAAATTATTTATTTGTTATAAATATATATATGCCATATTAAGAGCAACCTATTGCTAATAATCACATGTTTAAAGAAAACAGAACTAGCTCATAAAAGATAGTATTTCAAAATTGAATCGTATTAATGTAAAATATTTTTAAGATATACGAGTACGATATAAATCATAGGTAATATGTGGATAAAATATTAAAAAATAAATAAATAAACAAACATAAAAAAAGATAAACTTATTTTTTATGTTATTGGCGCCTACATAATAACGAATAGCAACGTAGAGCGAACTAGCAAATTGCTATATAAAAAAATAGTAACTTACACATCTTGACGCCTAATAAATCGTCACCGAGTGGCGAATTATTATTAGTGTTATTCTATAATTTAAATAAATCGTTATAAAATCTTATTCGTACACGAGTCAATAAATTAAAAAAAAACTCTTGTTTACTAAACCAATTTTACTGATACTTGATGCTCATATATCTACTTATTTATTTAATTATGGACAACCAGTAGATGTTATATCATTTCTTACATCTAAAAAATAATTACACGATAATTTAGTTAATAATCAAAACTTGGTTAGGTATATTTTCCAAATGTTGTTTGAATAAGCGGTCATACGAGAATTACAGTAGGTATTCTGATTTAAAATTACATCTCCCTGTCTGTGACAACCACAGCGTTTAGTTTTACCGTGTGAGTGACGAGTGAGAGACGTTACCGGACCCCCAATCCCTAAATTTATGAATCTCTGATCCCCAAAAGACTGCCAATGCACTGGTATCTCCTCAGGTGTTGCAAGTGTTTAAGAGCAGCGCCGATTGCTTACTATCCATTTAAGGAAAAGTTAGCGCATAATATTCTTTATCCTGCCACTTTTAAACTTAGATCTCCAACCGGCTTGCTAAGCGAAGAGACTTATAGTCCAGCAGTGGACTTTCCGGGGCGGCCGATGATGATGATAATTTTAGAATAACAACTAACCATTCAAAACCATCTAATTCCAGATCCCTACGTGAAAGTATGGCTTCAGTTCGGTGACAAGCGCATAGAGAAACGCAAGACGGCTATCTTCAAATGCACCCTGAACCCAGTCTTCAATGACTCCTTCTCATTCAACGTACCCTGGGAGAAGATCAGGGAATGTTCTCTGGACGTCCAAGTTATGGACTTCGACAATATCGGAAGGAATGAGCTGATCGGGAGAATATTGCTTGCCGGTAAGTTAATTGAAATATCATCCAAATACTTGTCTAGCCAATACAAGAGACAATAGACCACCACAGCCCTATAAGGCTCGGGGATCGAGAGATGATCTCCGGCCACCGTAAGCGCGGGTCTGCGGACGGCGAGTAAGGGTAGCTCGCCGCCCGACCAGAACCGGACCCGAGCGTACGGCGCGTAGCGTTCCGCGCGCGCCTCAAAGAGCCAATAGACCACCACAGCCCTATAAGGCTGCAGGTACTCAGCTGGGGTTACGGGATAGCCGCAATGAGGCACCGCGACCTCGGCCCAGAGCAGGAGAAGGAACGGGGGGGTTTTAGTCAGTAAGAGTCTGACACTCTTTCTTGCCTTACCCTGGGCGCGAGAAGTCATTGGATGATTTTCCCCTGACAAAAAAAAGCACTATAAGGCTGCAGGTACTCAGCTGGGGTTAAGGGATAGGCGCAATGTGGCACCACGGCCTCGGCCTAAAGCAGGAGAAGGAACGAGGGGGGGGGGGGGTTTCAGTCGGTAAGAATCTGACACTCTCTCTCGCCTTTCCCTGGGCGAGAGAAGTCATTTGATGATGTTCCCCTGACAAAAAAAAATGGGCTGAACCGGGGCTGTAAGCTAGTATATGTATAATAATTATTTGGTTACGTAAATTAAGTCAGGCCACAAATGCGCACGCGCCTTATTAGTATTCTACACGATGGAAAAACCCATAAGGGTTTACCAATCACGATTCTTAGTAAATAGTATTTCACAATTTTCCACTCTAGAGACGGTCAATTAAAGTTGTAATCAGGTTGTTCTAAGATTTTTTTCTTAACTCAAATGTGTACACCAATGATGTACCAGCGTCATTTTAAAATTCGCAAATTATATTTGCGCGTTTTGTTTTTCTCATTTAATATATGTTGGTAGCTTTTATATAATTGTATAATTTATATAATTGCTTATAGCACTCAAGAACATTGTAGTTATCTATCAGTGAAAGAATTATGAAAATCCGATCAGCGGTTCCAAATGTTACTCCTTACTTACATACAACATACAATTTTTAACCCTTTATAATCGAAAATGGATTTTTTTATGTAATAGGTCGGCAAACTAGCAGACGCATTACCTGATGGTAAGCAATCAGCGCCGCTCATATACATTCGCAACGGAGGAGGTACGTGTGCGTCGCCGATCTTTGGGGGATTTAGGGTTTCGGGAGGGTAAGGGTTGCGCCTCCGGTAACCACACTCACACGGCGAAACACAACGCGACGCTGTGGTTGTTTCACGCCGGTTTTCTGTGAGGCCGTGGTATCACTCCGGTCGAGTCGCGTTAGCTAGACTGACCGAGACACCGTTCAATGTGTCAACCAGAAGATAAATTTAAATTTTATTTCTATTTTCCAGGTAAAAATGGTTCCGGCGCAACAGAAACGAAACATTGGCAGGATATGATCACGAAGCCGCGGCAGACCATCGTTCAATGGCATCGTCTGAAACCGGAGTGAAAAAAAAATAAAGAGCAAAAAAATTAATAAAAAAAAATATTACAAAAACGTCATAAGACTGAATGGTTAACAAAATTTAATGACACTACCACTCTCTGAACTGTCCTTTTAAAGCGTTGTGCTTTTATTGTTATTTTTGTTAAAAATAATATTATATTTGTTAATAAATTATTTTTTGTTCAGAATAATTTGTTACCAAATAATTATTTATGTTATACCAAAATGTTGTTTGATGACTTTCTTTTTGGAAAAATAATAATAAAAATTCTATTTTATTTATTCACAATTCTATTTCATCTGAGCACACGCTATTTCTCGAATCTTGACTATCTTTAAAAGTAAAAAAAAGTTAAAATGACTTAAAATTAAAATCAAAAAAATTGGTGATATTTCTAAAAAACATGAAAATCAAAAATGTTGAAAATTAACTTTTTCCTAAAACTAATTAGTTTGAAATGATGTGCATATAAATATTGCGATTAAATTAAATGCAATTAACGTATTTATTAATAGTTGGTTAAATTATTTTTATTAAGATATAATTTATTTAATCGTTAATTGTAAGTCATTCAAAAATTACCGGTCTTTTTTTAAAAAAAATTACCGATTTTTTTATTGTAATATATCCATAATAATTTATTATTTAATATTGTATGACATATTATTTCAAACTAATTTAAAATCTTCAAGCTATATTGACGTTTTACTTAATAATTAATGGTTGGATGATGAATGTTAAGAATTTTAATAAAAAAATATTGTTAGAATTATAAATTTATTGTTAAAAATGTAGTAATTATTACTAATGGTCGGGTTCACATCGCACAAAGAGAGTACAGTTTTTTGTTAAAATTACTTTTTTAGTTAACATAATAATTATTTTTGTTTTTTTTTTATAATATAAATAACCATATAACCTACGTTTTATTATTAAAAGAACTAAATTGATTTTAAATTGCTCAATTAAGAGTCAACAAAAAAAAAACAATAACAATTCATTATTTATATTATGAATTTTTATTCAATAAAATAAAAATTATAAAAATATCAATTCGATCAGAGTAATTAACAAACTGCCAAATTTGAAATTTAATAAAAAAGCGAAACATCTCATATCCACGTGCGTATATCATAATATATGGATAAGGTAACTGGTAATTAGTGCCCGATATTGAAACACGATATTATACTCAAGATAACAAATAACTTTCCCAAAAAAACTTTTTTTTTCTATACTCATTAATTTTATTTTTATTTCTATAGCAAAATAATGGCGGCCTTGCCGGTAATAGGGTTATCATATCTCAGAATCTGTCCTGAGATATCAGTGACTTATCTCATGATTACGGCTGGATTTTGCAAATATTAGATTTGCAAAATCAAAATCTCAGAATTTTCAATAAAAACAGGTTACAGCTTAAACATCCGTTTTATAAAAAGTTCTTAGAGATCCATTTAATTCAACCTTCTTTCATTTACAATTATTGCAATTAAAAAAAAAACAATATTCTTTCCGTAAAAAATGCACTTAAAATCTTTACTTAACCAAATATAAAATTTCAGGAGTTTTCCATAGAAATCCGGCTTTTTCTCCGATCTTTTCTTTCTTGTCTTTTTTTTTCATCATTTGTAACCCTAACCGCTAACAGCTAATCGGGCGACGCATGGCGCGGAATTTTCTTATAAGTAGTAGGTAATAAAAAAAACTAATGAGTACAGAAAAAAGTTTCTTTGGGAAAATTGTTTTTTTATCATGAGTACTATCGTGTATACTACGAGTTTAAATATTAGTCACTAGTTACCAGTCACCTTATACATAGAAGAAGAAAAAAAATGTGTCAAAAAAAATTACGTTTCATATGCGAAGATGCTTGACGAAATGGGACATTCTAAATTAATTGTTAAAATGTAAGAAAGAGATAGATGCAATTTGCACGAGGCTGGTCAATTTTAGGTGAGATATATTAACGTGATGTTAAAAGCCCAATATTGCAAACCATTATAAACAATAACAAATTGAATAATGCCTCATTTAATTGTTAGCGAACGTTTTTTGTTAAAATATTTATATATATATAATGAAAAATAATATATATTGTAATGATTATAATATATATTAAATTAAAAAATAGTATGAATCGCTTGTTGTTACATGTTAAAGCTTACATTCCGTAAAAGTAGTTCAAATCGATGTTATGAAGTATTGAAAAAAAGTATATAAAGAACATCTTCAGAATTCAAAATATTGTATACATTTATAAAAAAAGGTTTTATATAGAATTTAGCGTAAATATAGGTGTACAACGTAGCTTGTTGTTTATAGATTTTAGGCAGTTTAATATTCATACAGAAATATAGGTTGCAGAAACGATTAACAAAAAAAAAATAAAAACAAAGGTCTGTCGAGAAAAAAATACAATTTTACTTGATGAAAAATATCCTCTAAACTGAGCTTCGAAAAACCGATTTTAGTGGAAAAAAAATGTCAAAGATTAACATTAATTGTTAAGATAATAATATGTATGTATAATTAAAATAGTATTTAGTGTGTAATTGTTAATTGTGGTTAATTACATCGATATTTTAAACTGTGACTTTTAAGTAGAATTACAACATCACACGTAGTAACAAAAACTACTAATTGATTCAATTATTTATTACAATCGTCACATTTATTTATTTATTAGCTTCAGCCCTCTTGGCACGCGTATAAAAAAAACAGAATCGAAAGCGACTTAAACACGGAGGAAGGAATAATTTATAGCCTATAGCTCTCAGAATCATTGTATCAGTGAAATAATTTTGAAATTCCGACTTGCGGTTCCAGAGATTACCCCCTACATACGTACAACTGTTTACCTCTTTATAATATTAGTATAAATTTGAATAGTACGGAACAAATTAAATAACGTACTCAATTGTTCGGTATAACATAAAAAATATAGGCACATGAGTAAAAGAAAGAAAAATACAACACATAATTATTAATACTCTATTCCCTCATCTCTCTCGGAAAACTTCAAGCAATCCGACAAAAATTGTCTTTTTTTCGCTAAAAAACACAACACATACTCTGGTTTTGCATCCAGGAATCTGTTTAAAAACATATTATATTACCAAAGATGTTATTAATGTCTAAGAAAGAAATCAGTGATAAGTAATTGTGACAAATGTCAATAGACAGAATATGTCCGTCTTTAGTTCCACTAGACAAAATGTATTACAGTGTCAGTACAAAGTACAAAAAAAACATTGTTTTTTAATATTTTGGTATTTTTTAATATGTTTTTAATGTGTTATGGTAGTAGTTGTAAAAATGACAAAGTTTAAACATCACAAAATGTTTTAAAACATCACAATAGAACATTTAGTTCGTCAGTGAAGCTAGGTGCTCGTTCCAAAATGTAGATTCGAATGGAGAAGTCACGTCGTCGTTACTCTTTTTTCTTTTTTGAAATAATGAAGTAAACAATTCCATGATTATGACAGTTAAAAAATGCTTCATAAAATAGGTATGGCCTCATCATCAAATAACTTTTTCCGCCCAGAGCGAAACAAAAGAGAGTGTCAAACTCTTACTGACTAAGAACTCCCCCGTTCTTTCTCCTGCTCTAGGCCAAGGCCGGTAACTTATTGCGCTTGCCCCTCAATCTGGAGATAAATTTTGATGTGATGATGATATTTAACTCTCTTGGCATTCACGAAAGACAAAATATTGACTAAGTTTTGATTTGATGATGACTCTGTTGACATTCACGTAAGAAAAAAAAATGACATAATTTGTCAAGTGTCAATGTTAAACTGACACCTGTAGTATCTGGAGCGCAAATCTACGCTATGTTTTCAGTTGTGGCTCGTATACATGCCATTTTATACAAGTAGTAGGGTAGACTGGGTACGGTTGAAACAATTTGGCATATTTGGTTTATAATTTTGTCATTTATTAACCAAATGATCATTATGATACATGAAATTCAAATATGAAGTTTTAGCTACGATAAGGCAGTGTCATTATGGTTCTCAAATTACTATTTTTGGAAATATGCGAAATTAAAAAATATTGATATTTTGTTTCAACCGTCCCCGTGCCAGGGGCGGTTGAAACAGCGATTGGGGTCAATTGAAACACATACAAATAAAACAATAAATACTAATGAAATATGTTTTATTTGTAATTAATACTAATTATATTAATAATTATCACAACATTAATCAGTATTCAAGATTTTAATTCTTCTCAAACGTTTATCAGCCTTTGACTAATACCTAGTAAAGATTTAGAGTAATTACAAAAACGGTAGTATCAGAACAAAGGTATCAGAATAAACTTTAAAAACAAATAGACTTTGAAAATAAACTAATTAAGAGACATTTCTAAAATTAATAAAATAACCATTGTGAATAAACTATACGAAAATATTTTTAAAACAAATAAACTAATAAAGAAATCCCTGTTTAGATCAAATAGACATGGAGAATTAACTTAGAGAAAACATTTAGCTTAGGCATTATTCGGAGTATTCAGAGTCGGAATTATAACAAACGTAGCTAAGACCACATTCTGTGCATTCTTCATGTGCCCACTGTTTACACGAAGTACATTGAATTCACTTCTCTCCAGATCTGCTCTCTGAATATGGTGCTGGAGTGTCAGACTCTTACTGACTAAAAAACCCCCCTGTTCCTTCTCCTGCTCTGTGCCGAGTTCGCGGTGCCTCATTGCGCTTACCCCGCAACCCCAGTTTGAATATGGTGCTTCTTAGCATAGAATACAGTACCATTCTTCCTCTTATGATGCTTCCGATGACAATGCTCAGTAGGTATTTTTTTCTTTCGTTTTTAAATTTCTTTCTTACTGCATCCTATCTTAGATAGTCCGAAATATATATATCAGCACATCGCATCAAACATGATAATTCTCGCTCCTGATCTTCATTAAAAACACGATTGTGTGCTTTATAGCCCATATCGTCATCACCGGTCGCATATCGCTTTCGAATGTATCAGGGAACATTGGTGTATACCATGCTTTTCCGCCGCTTTCCGTAAGGTTTCTCCAGCTTTTACCTCCTCATATGCATTACTGTAACTTCATAAGTCATTGTTCCCTTTGGAAGTCTTCCTCAACCGAACTCTCGGCATCTACAAAAAAAACATAAATATATTTTCTGTTTCAACCGTACCCACAAAAAATGTTTCAACCGTCCCCAACCCCACTTTACGTATAATATACTTTATATTTACAACAGTAATCATAATATATTAAAAATAGTCACTATTCCTTATTCTACAAGCATCGTAATAATCGCAAACACACACCTTATAACATTCACTTAAAAATAACAGATAATAAAAGCGTTAATGTCAGAAGAAAAATACTTACTTTTGTGTAATAAAAATTAATATGGCGTCCTGCACACAACCTCAACGCGCGGGATGTGGAATGGCACTGTATTCGGGTTCGGACCTGTCGTCCGCTTATTCTTCCCCTTACACCCCTTATTCCCCGCGTAACCATTTACGAGATATTTACTCTGTTTCAACCGTCCTTTGTTTCAATCGTACCCAGTCTACCCTAAAAGCGGCGATCAGACAGCACGATTCATCGGGACTTATGATGGACTTAGGGCGGTCGGGCACTCTCGATCGTCCGGTTTAGGGACACTAACAGCCTAACAGCGATTATTCCAATCCAATCCGAACCAGAACTTGAGGACTTGGAACACGACGAATCGTGTCATCTGAGCGGTGCTTAACTTTAATAATTCATGTATTCAGTACCTCAATGGTGGTAATTCGAGACACAATAGAAAGACAATTTTCTCCGCCGTTCGCTTAGGGATTGATTGATTAAGCGCCATCTGTTTATTAAATTGACTTTGTCATACAAAAGTTTGTTATACAATTAAGGGCTGATTTTTTAATAGTCAGATAAATGTTATCTGAGGAATAAAATTGTTGCTGTCACTGTCTTATACAAACATTCTGACGCGACAGCATTATAATTATTCATTAGGTAACTTTTATCTAACCATTGAAAAAACAGCCCTTAATAAAAATAAAAAACGGTTTAAAAACAGTTGAATATAAATATCGATGTAACTAACTAATAAAAAGTTGGAAATAGTGATGTGACGTTTACGATTCCGCTGTCAACGTAATATTTAAGCCGAAAAAAAAGCGTTACATGTCAAAATCAATTTTGACATTTCAATAAATTCAATAGAGAAAAACGTGTATCTAATAATAATATAATAGTGTAAAATGTCTGTCTGTTCATTGGAATAGGTAGTGTAATAGCTGAAAACTATATATTTTTTACTCTCGTGTTTATGTATTGATAAATGTCTATTTTAATGGATAAATAACCTTGGTGATGCTTTTTAAATTTATTTTTGCTAAGCATTTTTAATAATATTCTGTTTAATTTATCTAAATGTACGCTGACGCTTTATAAATTAGGTGTGAAATCCTATTCTCGACTCAAAATACTACTTCAAATGACCAAAACTCATGGTACTCAGAATTCCCAAAAAACAAATCATGAAAACGAAAATTAACAAAATTTCTCGAGAATTAGGACAACGGTTAAGTTCAGCTCTAAAACAAAAGCATATCCAGATAATGGTAGGAAAGTAAAAAATAAAAAAAATATTGTAAGTATAAATGAAAGGTCAAATTGAGAGGAATTATTCTAATAAATGTACATAAAATAGGAAAAAAATGTATTGATTGTCGTCATGCAAAGTTTGAGCTAAAAATCGAAATGTATTTCATTAAAAAAATATTATATTACATTAAATAAATATTTTTAATGATAAATAAATAAAATATTTTTGCATCTTCCGATTACTACCTCTTTTCGCTTAACTAAAACAATATTTTTTTAAATCTTACGTAGCGAATATTCCATCTCTACTAAAATAAATACGAAATAAAAAAACATATTTTTCCATAAATAAAATACTGCTTTATTTATTTTGTTTTCTTGGACAAACCAATTTATGGGTCATAAAATAAATTTTTATCACATTTATGAATGATTCTTGAAAAAAAACTAAAGAATTTGTGACTTATACATCGATCACTAATAAAGTCGATGGACTTATATGAGTAACTGGTTTGTCCAAAATTATGAATAGCTTTTTAATTCAAATTATTGTGATGTACAATTTATAACATATCAATCATTTTAATTTCTAAAGCCTTCAAGGAAGTATATATTTTGGTGAGATTTTCTTAATAAAACTATATAGATTATGACACTACGCACATACATTATTTTTTAAACTATACATATACATAATATAGAGAATCAGATCTCGAAAATCCTTCTTCTAAAACTATGAGAGACATACATTGCATTTTTTTTTATGTTAACATCTTAACATTAATTTAACAATAACGAAAATAATTTGCAGATTAATGCGAAAATCGATATCGAAAATGACGAATGACTTTTTTTATTCTTAAAATGGATTATATTTGCGATTATTTTAATCATATTACTATAGCGTTTAATATAAATCGATGTTGTCATATAATCGCCAATTATAGTGTTGTCGTTTGTTATGCAAATGTATATGTAATAAACAGTGCTTATGTCAATCGTAATTTGTCGAGAAGCTTCGGATTTCGTTCGGTTAAGATCGGCTCGACCGATCGAGCGATGTAACTTTATAAACGCGATCTGTGTGTATCTTGCGCAATACCTACACGTAAATGTTATAAAATTAGGAAAAATGTGATTTTAAAAATATAGTTGATTATATTTTATCGTATAATTAGTAACAAAAAAAATAATAATAACGTTTTAAAAAAATATATTATTATTACGTGTAATATCATGATGTAATATTACCTATTGTTATTAAGAAAATAAATGTTTAGATTAGATGAAAGTTTAAAAAAAATGTGTATTTATAGACTGTTAATTTTAAATAATAAGGATGTATTCGCTTTTAAAAATGTGTTTTTAATTTTAATTTTAAATTTTCATTGCATAGATGTTATTGTTGTGTGTTATTATTATTATTTTAATAATTATTAATTAAGGTTTTTAGGTGTACGGTTCATTAAAATTTATTATATTATACACGTATTATAAAGTGTTGACAATCATTAATGTATTGTGTATTTATTAATTGTAATTAAATTCATTATTCCCGAATAAAATATTGAGTTAATTTACTCGCGTTTATTATTTTGTATTTTATGAAGAACTAGCGACCTGCCCCGGGTGCGCCGGTACAATGCAGACACAATTTAATGGATGTTAGAATATAATTAAAATTAAAATTTAAAAAACCCCCGACAAAAAATCTACTATTCCTTTAAAAGTTATAATTAAAAAAAAACGTGGCATTGGGGGACCGATCCAAATATTTTATTATCTACTACATATTTCTATTTTTATTTTATACTTTTTATAGGTATTTTATATCATTTTCTCTCGATTAAGTCATCAACATTCCCTTTCAGTGTGCTTTCATTTGAGACCCCACTCGAGTATATGTATTTGTAGACCTTCGGTTACCCTTCCCCACTTGCCCCCCATAACTTCTAATCGGCTCAATCGATTTTCGTCAAACATGTCTAAGAACACTCGCACGTAAGTCACCTTTATTACAAAAAAACTAAATTGAAATCGCTTCATCCGTTCAGGGTCCAGGATGCCACAGACAGACAGACAGACAGACACGTAAAAGTTATAACACCCCTCTTTTCCAACTCTGGGTTAAAAAATAAACCTTTGTCTTTAATCACTCTATCTATGAAAAGAACCACATCAAAGACCCTAGCGTAGTTTTAAAGATTTAAGCATACATAGGGACAGAGAAAGGGACTTTGTTTTATACTATACATATGTAGTGATACAAATAAATAAATAAAGAATGACTCGGTAATGAGACAGTTGGTAGTCATTTTTATAGATGAAAGTAATATTAGAATTTATATTTTTCGAGCAATGAATGGGCCTGCTCAACTGGAGTTCTATTTCGGTGTGTGAGTGAGGTAACCGGAGACATAATCCTCCCTCCCACTCTTCTCAATCAAACCCCTAACTCCAATATGCTGGCAACGCACTTATAACTGCTCTACTATTCGTAGGTGGTGCCGATTGCTTACCATCAGGTGATCCGGCTGCTTGTTTGTCGACCTATATAAAAATGTTTTTTCAGTTTTCTATCGAGTAAATTTTTACAGTGAATATTATAAATTGATTCTTAAGAAGAAGTTCCATTTGAAACAAATTGTAATTTTGAAAAATTAAATACCTCACAAACGATATTATGAAAATATTCGTGATATTTATGATTTGAAATAAAACAGCGTTGCCTTGCTTTAGGATTTCGCTTCACTATGTCGAGGGTGCTATCAAAAACGTACAAATTCTCATACACAAGCTACCCAGACCTGGAACAATTTTTGGATCACGCAAAGTATTGTACCGTGCAGGAATCGAACCCGGGACACGTTGTACAGAAGTCAGTTGGCCAGTTGGCCAGCCACTTTCAGTAGAAAAAATATTAAGATAATTTAAAAATTAAGGAATGTTACGGAATATAAATAAAAGACGCAATATAGAAATTTTGTATTTTTTATTGAATAACTTTTCTATTTAATATATTTTATGTTATCAATATCACAAAACATTATAATTAGGGTAGGTATTCAAGTAAAAAAGCCAATGCTACATTATATAAACTTCTAAAAAAAACAAAACACGCAATGTTTAGGAAAATTTACAAAAAATAAACGAAACACATTTTTATTTTTTTATTTTTGTGAAATTTTAATTTTTTTTTTTGTGTTTATTTTTTAATTTTATCAAATAAAATATTTTTTTTTACTTTATATTTATTCTTTGTAAATTTTCCCAGGTCACGCAAATCACAAAAATGAACCATGAATCAGTGTAAACACTGTACACTTTCTATTGTCGACGATGAGTAAACCGGCCGTTATCTGATTTATTTGTAAAGTTAATAAAGAACAGGAAATAGAAGAATACTTTTGAACTCATTCGTCACTCGACCACGTCAAAAACTGTGATTACTTACCACGAAAATATGTTCCGCACGACTGTTTAACTAGAACTGATAAAAATCATACGTTTTTTATTCGGATTTTTACCGTCAAGGCAAGATAAAGGTAGCAAAAAATTACAAAAAATTATAATATCGTGGTCAAAACTTATTCCAGTCAAACAGAACATTAAAATTTGGTATATTAAAGGAATATTTTTTGAGACCAATTTTCTATACGTTTATCGACAAACGTATTAACGGGCATTTTACTTTCCCATCACTATTAAAACAGCGAACCAATGAGAATCCAGCATTTGATTTATCGCGTGATATCCGACCAATCACGTTTGCATTGTGGTAACAGACTTTAGTGTTGTCTATAGGTGTAAAATGCCCTAACTTCTATTGACTTCTTAAGCTTTCTTTTCTTCTTCTTTCTTCTCTGCTTCAGGAGGGGGGGTGGGGAGCTCGGGGTACTCCAACTTTACTCCATCCTCGCAAGTGAAGATAGGACAGCAGCCGGGGAAAGGCGCGGTCTTGTTGGTCTTGTCTGTAAATTGAGAATAAGAGTAATTTAGTAGAGAAACTAGAATACATTTTAAATACTTACTATGAGATATGACTGCGTTAATAGCCTCTAATCTATTTTAAGTAGGGTACTTCAGTTTTTATTGTATCATGCACCTGTGCAATTAGTAGGGTAATACAAAATGAAACAAAGGTTCTCCTATTGTAACTTACAATATTTCTTACATCCAAATCTATGGAACCATCACTTTTGCTACCATCAGTTGAAGAATCTCTACTACATAGATAACTAATAATACAACTACGCCAAAATGAATTCTTGTCTATGTCTTACGTCACCGCGTTTAGCTCTCTGATTGGTTGTTTGAATCGAAGTAAGCCAATCTGAGTGCCTAGCACGAATGACTATCGTAATCGTAACGTTAACGTATCGAGACGTCGATACTTCATGTGACGAAAACGGAATGTCGCAGCACGAAGTCTATCGTATCGTCTAGCGAGAGCTCGAATCGAATTCGTTAGTGACGTCATGCTAATGTAAGCTAGAGAAGCACCCAAGTGAACGAATTGAATGAATTCTTGAACATAATTTAACAGAAAGTTTTCGTCTGAAAACTAAAATTAAATTTAAACATATTTCAACCTTCGTCTACACCTTTTGTGGTATTATATTTAAATGAAAAAATATTAATTACGTGAAATAATTCTTAAAACGAGTCAAGAAGTATATAAAATGACTTTATCTATAAAAAAAAATATTATTTGGTTATTTAAATTTTGTAACATAATTTACGATTTCCGAACGTTCTTTTGACAAAGGTGACGTTTGACGGCTATTGACGTATTTTTTTTTAACAAACAAAACAAAGAATGTAGATTGTAGATAATTATGCGGCTATCTTATTATGCGGTTAGTTTAAATTTATTTTAAAATGAGGAGGATTCGGCTCCAATACGAATTTATGGTGGATTTCATGGAATATGCCAGTGACAAGCAGCGAGCCTTCAGTGTCCCGACCACTCCGCAGTACCCATGAAGCCAGCCGTTCACCGACACCACCAGTCGCCAATCCTCCATTAGAAAAGGAATGCTGGAAGCCTCGACCGAAAAAAAAAATCTAAAGGGAGTTTAATTAAATTGTGTTTAGAGAATGATAAGAAACCTAGGGAGTAGTGCTAGGGAGCGTGAGGAAACATATGATATAATGGAACAAGAGCGTTTGGAATTACGACGAGAAGAATGAAGAGTATGACAGAGAGATGCAGAGCTCCTTTTACAGGCTCAGTGGCTGGAACTTATGAGAGAGGCAATAAATGTATTAAAATTTAATCTAGTTAAAAAGATGATTAATTACCCGACTGCCAAAGAAGGAGGGTAATGTTTTTCGAGTGTATGTAAGTATGTATGTATGTCTGTTCCTTTGTGACCTCCTGTAGCCTAAACGGCTTGATGGATTTTGATGTATGAGGTATCGTTAGATTTGTCTTGATTACGGGAGTGTCATAGGATACATTTTATCCTAAAAGTCCCACGGGATAAAGACATAATAATATTTTTTCTAAATTTCCCTTTAAAAAAATATGTATGCGGTATCATTAGATTCATTTCAATCACGGGAGTAATTAATATAGGATACGTTTTTTCTCAAAATTCCTACGGGAACATGTTAATTCTGCGTCAACGCAAAGCAACTCAATTCAACTCATGCGTTAGCAAGCAAAAAGATAGGGCGTGGCCTGGCATGCGGCGCGCGGCGCGGTGCGGAGGGGGATATGCTCGAGTATACAGCCCGAATGCGGGCACACGCATAAGGGCACACGTCGTTGACGGTCGTCTCCAAACAGCGATTTTTTCGATACTTCGTCGTCTGACGCGAAACTTATAAAGTATAAATAACTCGTTCTTTTTCTTTCGTGTTTCTCTCTTTAAATTTATTCGTTCTTTCTAATTAATTAACTCGTTCTTCCGTTCTTTTTTTTGGTTCTTTCTTAAATTCTTCATATTAATTAATAATATAATAATAATTATTAATAAAATAACTAGGTAGGTACCTAATTCTTTTTCTTCTTCACTACCAACAGTCCAGATTGGCGGTAAATTTATGTTGCGGAGTAACATCACTCGTAATCTAAAGCCAAATGTCGTCGAAATAATTTAAAATGGTACTTACATATACATAGTCTTCTACATCTACAACATTTTCGTTAAATAAAAACAGCTAAAAAGTTATAAATAAAAAAATTATTATTAAAAAAACAAAATACCCGACTGCACACTAAAAAAAGAGTAAAACAAGCCCCACAATACAAATTTACTGAATATACTTAGTCGGGTCATAAGTTCTGTCAAAACCTTATATTTTTAATTTTCGATTACTGGCCAGAAATTCTTCGACTTATTTTAAAAATAGAACTTTCGCGCTTGTAGAAAATAAAAAAGAAATTATTTTTTATTCATTTTTAAATATGGAGTGGTCGAATAAAGAAGACAGAATCGCGGTTATCGCGTTGCACCGCTGTGGTTACGCGCCAAAAGACATTTTCAATATTCTTCAAAATTTGAAAATAACGTTACGGTTTGTTTATCGTACTATCAAACGATACACCGAAGAGTCAAGCTTCGAAGATCGTAAGAGAAGCGGCCGACCTCGCACAGTTCGGACACATAAGGTCATCAAAGCAGTGAAGGCGCGAATCGAACGAAATCCCGTACGTAAACAAAAAATCCTAGCTCTGCAGATGGGGCTAAGCAGAACCACTGTTAAAAGAGTACTAAATGAAGACCTGGGACTACGAGCTTATCGTAAAAAGACAGGACATTTTTTGAACGAGCGTTTAAAAAAAATTAGGCTAGACAGATCCCGCGCTTTGCTACGACGGTACGCGGGAAAAAAATACCGCGAAATTCTTTTTTCGGATGAAAAAATTTTTACTATTGAAGAAAGTTTTAACAAACAAAATGATAAGGTGTATGCCCACAGCAGTGAAGAAGCAAGCGCGCGTATTGCGAGGGTCCAGCGTGGGCATTACCCTTCCTCATTCATGGTTTGGCTTGGAGTCTCATATTCAGGCGTAACTGAGGTGTTTTTCTGTGAAAAAGGTGTGAGAACTAGTGCCGAAGTTTATCAAAATACTGTCCTAACAAACATAGTGGAACCTCTTTCTCAGACAATGTTCAGGAACAGGCATTGGATATTCCAACAGGACTCTGCACCGGCTCATAAGGCACGAAGTACGCAAGACTGGTTGATCGCTCGTGGAATTGACTTCATCCGGCATGAAGACTGGCCCTCTTCTAGTCCAGATTTAAACCCACTGGACTACAAGATATGGCAATATTTGGAGGAAAAAGTCTGTGCTAAACCTCACCCGAATTTGGAGTCTCTCCGAGCATCTCTGGTTAAAGCAGCGGCAGACATAGATATGAATGTGGTGCGTGCAGCGATCGATGACTGGCCGCGTAGATTAAGGGCATGTGTTCAAAATGGGGGAGGGCATTTCGAATAATGTAAATAAAATTATATTGTACATTTAATGACCTTTCATTTCATATATAATTTTTAAATAATTGTCAAAAGGCGTATAAGTTATTACATCAAAAGTTTGTGACAGAACTTATGACCCGACTAAGTAATTTATAAATGTTGATGGAAAGCATCGCAGGCGGGGACCACCTTGACCGCCACCAACGAAAATTCTGCTAAATGGTGCACAACAGAAATGACTATAAATAAGCCTCTGTTGGTCCCCGCCTGCGATGCTTTCCATCAACATTTATAAATTATATTCAGTAAATTTGTATTGTGGGGCTTGTTTTACTCTTTTTTTAGTGTGCAGTCGGGTATTTTGTTTTTTTAATAATAATTTTTTTATGTATATTTACATGTTTTATTTTAAATTACTACATTTTAGAATGAGGGAAGATTATGTTAGAATTGAATTTAAAATGTCTCACTATAGTTACCTATTATAAAAACATGAATAGTTTTTAAGTTAGATTAGTGTGTAAGATGTTTTGGAAATGTATAATAATAAAACACTTGGGTCATCTGTGTAGTATATTTATTTGCTGTACCAGAATATTCCTTAAAGCCCTTTCACTTATCAAATCATCGCTTCTATCATTTTCATGTCTCATAACAGAAGATGAGGTATGAGACAAGTCTTGATGCTGTTGTTGCAGCTGTTATTGTATCTACCTGTTGCTCAGGCACATTGAAATTTATGACCAAATTATGCAACACGCAGCAAGCCGTTGTCAAACACATTTTTCGGGAGCATAATGCAGAGTGTGGTCTTTGCACAAGTATCGCCTCTTCTTTCTTTTACTGCAGTATATCGTGCGGGCCACGAGTTCCCTCTACCGCATCCAAAATGAGTAGGCGTCATTAGCCATGGTCGCTGTGGGTAGCCAGAATCACCTGTAAAAAAAAAACTTATTAGAAAACCTAATTTATACTAGCTACTTCCTCACGGTTTCACCCGCTGTTCGACTCCTAATGATTTCATTTTAGCATGATAAGGTTAGTTTTGTTGGAGTTGCTCACAGAAGTACTTGAAAGCTTTTTTATTTAGGCGGTACCTAGTATTTCTAAACTACGTTTCAGTGATATCCATTGGATTAGATATCTTTCTGAATTTAGCTCGGCACACGATTTCTCTAGAATAATCAGTTAATTCGTATTATTTTCTTGAATACATATGTCTATATTAAGCGAAACATAACTTGAATAGGTAGGTACTTAGGTACTTACGAAGTTTCTCTTGACTCTTCATCTCCAAGTAAAATAGCCACAAATAAACTATTTCTCCAACTTGGTTCGTACAGCGGCGGTCTTTGCATGATGTTATACTCGTAAAGAATACTCACAAACCTTATAATATATTATTTAAAACACGACTGAAATATTTCGAAACCTTTCTCACCGTCAAATTCTTAGTGACAAATGTTTCGACAGTTTTCGATAGCCAGCCTTCGAAACTTACGTTACTATACGTCAAAAGATCGTTCGTGCTTCCAATTTGTGTCAAAATGTTCTAAGTTTCGATAGCAACACGATACGATTACTATACGATAGTTGTCAAAATCATTCGTGCTTGCGATTTTTAGTTCCTTTTACGCACGGTAGGGGCGCTGTACAAATCCCATAGAAAATGCTTTCGATCTCGATACGAATACTTTCTCGATAATGTTCGTGCTAGGCACACTGAGCGCTTACGGTATAAACGTGTCGATCGTTCTAACGTTAACAAACTTGCACTAGGTATAAATAATACTTTTTGCATATTTCTATATACAAATTTTTAATCGTGGTAATTCGAGACACGTTAGAAGAACAATAGGCACGCGTTCGCTTCTGATTTGATGAATTAAATATTTTAATGTTTATTGCATTTTTTAACATACCTGTGTCCAACTTGCACTTGGGGTTGGCGAGTGGCAGAGGTCCACAGTCTTCAACGAGCTCCAAAAGCCTGGGTGGCTGGTCCTCACTGACGACGCAGGTGCTGCGTCCACAGAAGGGAGCCAGGTCCCAAGTGTTGCCAGGCTCGACGGTCGCGCAACGCGTTGAAGCGAAGCACATGCCGGGGAAATCTGGAAAGATGAGATGGGATTCCGTAAGTTTTGTGTTGAAAAAGTAAGTATTTAGAAAGTTGTAATTTTAAAGTAAATATATCATTGGTTGAGTAGACGCAAGTGGGCTATATCAAGTATATAATAAGGATTTTAAATCTTCAAAACTTCTCGGCGTATAGTGTTATTTTTTTATGATATAGGTCGGCAAACGAGCAGTCCAATTACCTGATGGTAAGTAATCAACGCCACCCATGGTCACTCGCAATACCATAGGTACTACAAGTGTGTTACCGACTCTTGTGGTTTATTAGGGATTTGTGGATGAATGACAAGGATGAGAGAAAGGATTGAGTCTCCAGTACAGTGATACAAATAGTGATAAATTACAAGGCTTTCAATAGATTTCATTATGTATGTTTGAATACATAAGTATTTTATTATTTGAGAGTCAAAAAACAATCATTTTGTCAGCAGAATTACCCATTATTATTACCCAAAAAAGCAAATAATCGTGTACGTAATTACTAATAAACATTTTATTATTGATCTTTATTTCCCATATTGAAGACTGGCTCGAGTATTATGTATGCGTGAGAGCAAACAAAAATAAAACAAATATTGATTTTGAACCGTAAACATGACCGGTAAGAGTCCACTTTCTAATATTTGCAGAAAGCCTGCGTTTTCTAAATGCTGATGTGTCTACAGTCATTGCAAGTAATCGATTAAGATTTCTACATTTTTATAAAATTATTTGATATTTTTTTTTGTTTTCATTCCCTTTTGAGTTATTTTTCCCAGATATTTATAAAAAAAAATGTATAAATTGATCAATGGCAAAATTATAAATAATAAAATCTATTGAAAATCTGTTTCCTAGAGAGGGAAGATTTTTTTAAGGTCGGCTAACGAGTAGACATTTACATATTGGTAATTGACATAGATATAACTCGGAAAAAATCACATTCGTATTTGTTAGGTTTTGAAATCATGCATGAGAAGCGGGCGCCTTAACCTCCGGACTACAACGTTATTTTTGCACTAATCAGCACAGATAACTGCTATTTTCATGAGAAAATTGGCTAATTCCTAACAAAAATTCAATGCATAAAATAAACAATGAAATTGTGAATACATAGAGTTCAATTGTTTTTTTTTTCTAAATTCACAAGCTCATGTCAATTTTTGTAAACATACAATAGTACAATTTGACGACTAAATTTGTACATATGTATGTAGATCATGGACAGTGAAGAATGGGCTCTATTGTTTAGTTGTGAAAGGCGATTATGCTAGTCCCCTTTGTTCATTGTATCTCAGTGTATTTGTTTTTTTTTTTCGGTACACAATTTGCGAAATGTTTTCGTAATGCAAAAATACTTATTTCCTTATAAAGTGTGGGAAAGCCAAGCTTCGGCACGAATTGGTCTCAACCGTCGTGATGCCACGGCCTCACACAAAATTGGCATGGAACACCCACAACGTTGTTTGTTGCAGTGTTTAAGGATACCGCCATTCCTCTTCAATCCCTAAATCTCCGAAATCCCTTATCCCCAAAAGGGCGGCTATCGTTCTCTTCTAATGTTGCGGCCAATTAAGAGCCGCACCGATTGCAATCAAGTAATCCTGTATGATCGTTTGCCGACTTATCACATCAAAAAATCCTGCTCTTTATATAAATAAAGTGATACTTTATAGAAATGAAATAATAGTGTGTACAATAAAGTATATATAAATAAATAAAAATGTTCTCAAATAGACTGAACTAAATAGGTCATCGACCTAGTTAGTACCTAGGTATTATCAAAATACTGGAAACGGGAACTAAGCAAGTATTTCCTTATTAGAAGCACTTAAAAAAATTTCGAGAACACGTCAGTTATAAATTGGTGGTACGACTTGGTCCTAAATTGTGTCCGTTCATACAGACTTAGAATAGGATTTTGAGTCCTAATTAGAATTTTTAGAAGGTCTTTTTTTGAAGGGAGATATCCGTCCAATGAGTTTCTTGTTGGAGAGTGAGGGAGTGGCAGACTCCTTACTGACCAATAACTACCCCGTTCCTTCTCCCGCTCAGAGTTGGACCCGGTACATTAAAAATAAAAAAAATAATGTTTATTTCTCAAACTACTAAGTAGTTTACAGAGTTTAAAACTTGGCAACAATATTATTATAACAGTGAGTTTAGCATTACGCTTGCATCCACAACTCCAGTTGGATATTAGCCCTAGTAGGTCTCTTTTTGGTAAGCTGGTAGCTTCGAGAAGATTTCGTGTTCAAATCCCGGATATTATTGTTTTTGAGGGGAGGAAATCATCAAATTATTTCTTATTTGAGGAAGAAAAATCATCAAAATGAGTAGCTTCTCTCGTCTAGAGTGAAGCAAGAAGAAGTATCAGATTCTTAAAAATCACACTGTTCTTTCTCCTGCTCCAGGCAAGGCCGCGGTACCTTATACATAAAGCTTGCTTATTATATTACATTACATTTGAACTAATACCAAACGATTTGGTAGAAAAAAATTTTAGGTACAATAAAAATATCGAGTAAATTAAAAGAAGCAATGAATTCTTCTTTTTTAATATTTTAAACACTTCTGTCTACACATTCAGTGGTTTGTAATCGTGAGGTTATGCTTTATTTAAGAGTGAGCTTGAATTTATAACGCGGAAGGCAATATAAGCTGAAAGTGAAAGCAAGTCATGAATCTAGATTATTCTATTGAGGACACACTAGGGTTACCACAACGCAAAGCTTAGCTTAACAACTTAAAATATTTTTACCACTTCATTACAATTTTGTGATCAGTAAAGTGACCGTTAAATTATTACAACACAAAAATAATTTAATGATTATTATTTTATAATAACGATAATTATTATATTATATTAATTTGACGATTATTTTGTTAATATATAAAACTGTTAACACACGGCAAAAATAATAAATAATTTATGAAATGTATTTTTTTTTCTCATAAATTAATTTTAAGTCACTAAATGTAACTAATTTTTTGTTGTTTATTCTTATTATTTTTGTAAAATAAACTATACGCTATATAATTACGTATTTTTTGTGTATCTGAGATTATATTATAAAGAAATAAAAGGTTTATGTAATATATTATGTCTCGTTTAACATTCAGTTTGTAATTATGCCAAACCATTACCTTTCTTGTGGCAACCTTTTTGTGCGACTAAATCCAATGGATTGAAGTTTTGCAATCGTGTTGCGTAAAGTTGAGTTACGAGTTACTGCATACGAAGTATCCTTTTTTGATCGGTTTGTCTATACATCGAATGAGTAATGCGTTTGGACTAGATTCAGAATGTTTTTGTTGTTCATTTTAAAATGCTTGTGAAATATCTTCGTTTTTGCTTTTAACAGAAGATGCGTAATGTATTGATATGTTTATAAAGAAATATCTTAAGTTGAACGCTTAGTGAATATCAAGCACCTTTACGTTGATAATTTGATATTCCTTAGTCATATTTAAAAATGCATGCAAATCAAATAGATTTTAAATATTAAATTTTGTATTAAATATAACATATGTAAAATAATAGGCTTTGTTTTATTTATTATACATTTTTATTTATAAATATTGTATGTAAAATCTACATTTAAACTACTCTTTCCATCCTAACAGTAGCTACAATAATCATTGTAAAGATTCCGTGATTCTACAATCTTCTACATTAGAGTAGTTTGTCATTATCTCAACACTTGGCAAGCAAATTAGAGATCAAAGTCTTAAAGATTTACTTAATCTACACTGTCTAGCAGTACCTACTTACAATTGTCACTAGCATAAAGTAACGTAATCGATTATAAATAAATATTCAGGATATCCGGCGGTCATTACATAAAACCAATTTCCTTATTTTACCCAACCGGTAAAAGTATTAAGGAAGGTATTCCAGTAGCGACAATGGATTTTAAATGCCATGGAACATCGGATACATTTCCTGGGTGAAAGTTAAGACCTAGGTTTTAGCTGTTCACGTGGAACGCCGAACCTCAACAGCCTGTGACAGCTCGTGGCTAGCTCTCCCGCTATCTGGACCGATGACATCGTCAGAGACGCAAGGAGATGAAAAATGACGTAGTATTGACGTGTAAAAGGGGCTTTTTTATGGCCTACTAGCTTTTGCCCGTGACTTTGTTAGTGTAGAACAAAGATTTCCTGCAGATTTTTGGTTTAAAAACTATACTATGTCCTTTCTCGAGTTCCAAACTATGTCTGTACCAAATTTCACACCATTAGAGTTATTTTCGTATTTATAATATTAGTTTGGATTTGCAAAAAATAAATTCATTATTTCATTGTTTCAATGCGAGTGGCGGTTTGTCGTTCGACGTGGAAGACTAAGGGAGAGGCTTTTGTTCAATAGTGGAAGCCTTCCTTCTAGTGATAAGGATGATAGCTGAATGATGAATTAATTCACCAAACCCCAACCAAACGACGGCGTTCGCGCACATTTTATTCTTCTATTCTGTCTCGAAATTTAAAAATAAAATGATTGGATTTGCTAAATTAATTTACGTTTAATGTAAACTTGATATGAATAATTTATTTAATATTAATTTATTCAAAATTCTGACAGCTGTTTGACATCTATGTGACATCTGTCATCGCTCGAAAAGACAAAATGTCACTTGACATTTCCTGCACTTGATTGGACTCAAGATTTTTTGCAAATACGACCTTGCTCGAAATAAATTAATTACCTGACCAAGGGTTTGGTTTCCTACGCCCACGTATCGAGAGTGGCCATAATTTTTAACCACCAATAAAGAAACACCAATTTTTTTGTGTAAGTAAATCATAACGAATTTTCTTTTAATAAAAACTTTGCCCGCCCTTTGATTTTCTCCTGTGTCGTGGGTGCGTTTACAAACATACAAAATCACATACACATCACACCCAGACCCGGAACAACAATCTGCGGATCAAACAAAGAGTTATTCCGTGCGGGAATCGAACCCTCCACCTTTGCAATCACCTCGCCAACCGT